ACTGATGTGACTAGAGTCTACTTAAACCAGGATGCAGAAACAAACCACTCTGCCACTCAGCTCCACGTGGTGATGCATCTATGGAAGTTTAAGCCTTCACTTCAAAATGAAGTCATCGTGATTTGGATTATTTTCTGGTGTTTTGGGGTTTGGACAGTTTTGAGTTGTGTTTATTATTTAAATCCTGTTCTTTAGTTGACCTAACTTCCCGTCATACTGTGTAACGTCAGTGTCGTGGTTTGTTGCTGATAGTTCTTCTTGTCTGTGTCAATTTCCCTCAAAAACTCCTCAGTTCTGTTTCAATTCTTCATTTTACTCCCTCTTCTAAACCACTTTGGATCTAGGTTCATCCTTTCTTTTTGTCTGGGTGGGAATGATCCAAAACCTTTTTGCTGAATGATAACATAAACTTCACTCGACTGTTTAATCTGAAATATGATAAAACACTTGAATATGTCTCATTGTGACGGTGTGAATATCGTGTCATCAGGACATAATATCCTGGACGATTCTAAGAGAAAACAAATGGATTTGTCTGGTTATCTGGTTCTGAACTGGAAACATGTATGAATTTATTCATCATAATAACATCAGTTCTCCTGAGATTATGTCATCTCCTTCCTATGTGTATCTAAAACTATCCGACTCGATCTGCTGAGAGATCCTCGACGTTCTCCATCAACTCTTCTGTCTGAAATTCCTTAAAGTCCAGATTAAGATTCTGGAGGATCTGCTCTGAGTGTCGTCTTTGTTCTTCAGGCTTATGAGTGTGAAGCTGCTGCTGTGTGAAGGTCAAAGGTCACTCTACATCACCCTAAACTCACCTCTCAGTGCTTGTATCACAGATTCAAATGGTTTTGGAGGATTGAGCCGTACCACAGGGGGTCACGGCCTGCATGTAAGGCTCTGCCATTAAAGCAGAGGTGATGGTCAGGAAACAGAGGGGGGAGGGGCCAGCGACAAGGAAGAGGTGCGCTCTGGGTAATTAGAGCCCAGCCTCCTCATTCGTTTTGACATTCTGTGGCAATTTATTGCCCCGCTCGGGCAACTTGGCCACCCATCTAATTGCAATATTAGGGTGTAATAACGGTGGAGTTACGGTGATCCGTCAGCGCAGCATTCTGCTGCCTCGGCAGGATTTTGGCCATTAACCGGCAAACGGAGGAAACAAAGCGACCTCTGAGTGGAGCATCAGCACACATTTATATTCACACACACACACACACACACACACACACACACACACACACACACACACACACACACACACACACACACACACACACACACACACACACACACAGTCAGTGGTCCCTCTAGCTGATGTTTCAGAAGTAAAAAACTGTCTGCAGACATTCCTTTGTCATCTGAAAGTAAAAGCTCCGTTCGTCACCTTCATGAAGGATTCTTTAGGCTCCATGAGGAGGAATTAACCCGATTATCAGCTGATCATCCTAAAACCAAACTGTCTGATAAATGTTCCACAGCTGCAAACATCAACTAACTGTCTGAAACCTTTAAGCTTGAGGGAGCGTCGAGGTCGCAACAGAATCATGACGGATGTTAAAGTTCCTCCCATCATCACAGGTGATGATGGTGTGAGGAGAATGAACGAAGATCCAAAGATCAGAATGTGAGGAGCAGCAGAAAGACGAGCTTTGCTTTACTAAAGCAAGGCGTGAATTCTGAGCTTTAAACCACGTTACTGTAGCTGCTTAAACACAGCATTTGCATGATGGGTCACTAAAAACACGACAGTCTGTGTGTGTGTGTGTGTGTGTGTGTGTGTGTGTGTGTGTGTGTGTGTGTGTGTGTGTGTGTGTGTGTGTGTGTGTGTGTGTGTGTGTGTGATCTGTAATAAATCTTTGCATTTCTTAACAGGCTCTAAAATGCAGTGAAACAGCCAAAGCAGAAGTAAATCACCAGCAGACGACTGACAGTGTGTCCACACAAATACGTCTGTGTGTCCATTAATGTGCTGACAATAACTGTGTGTGTGTGTGTGTGTGTGTGCGTGCGTGCGTGCGTGCGTGTGTGTGTGTGTGTGTGTGTGTGTGTGTGTGTGTGTGTGTGTGTGTGTGTGTGTGCATGTCCCCAGGGGTGGCGGACTACTATCAGCATTGTGTTGTATCCTAATCAGAGCAGTCCAGTCCACAGATCCAACAAGGGACCAGTAACCAACAGGAAGTTCACCTGCAGCTTTTCTAGGAAAGAAAAAGCACTCAGACTAACACAATGCTGACCTCAGAGGTCATCTAGGTTCAAAGTTCACATGGAGGAAAGGTGACAGAACAGTGAAAAGGGATTCAGAAGAGAATTGGAAGCTAGAGGACGACGTTGTCTTTGTTCCAGTAAAAAACCAAGCTGCAGCATTCTGAGCCAGTGGAACCAGACCAATAAGGGTGCTCTTCAATAGCCCAGCTGGGATGTTATGAAAGCATGAATTATTACGTTCCAAACAAAAAATTTATCTGAATTAGTTTATCATAAGGATGCACCATTTCAGCTCTTTGTAACAACCTAACATTGTGTTTAGTTTCCGACACATGATGAACTGTTTGACCCAAAAAGAAGAGGGACCTGGGATTCCAGGTGTGTTATAAGGAGTGATGTGTTTATCCTCAGTCAGCTGATTAGATGATGATGGTGTTCTTGATCCAACATCAAGCAGAACATTTTTACTTTGTATTTTTACTGGCTGTGCTTTTATTGTGAAACACTGGCTCTGCTGAGTCCATCTCATGTGTGACAAAACACATTGAGAGGTGGCAAAATCCCTAAAAACACCCATCAGACACACACACAGTCCCCTGGAGGTGAGAGGTCGGTGCACCTTGTGAGTGGGTTTCTGGCATGTATGAACATGTGAGCACCGTGTGTGTTTCCTCCTATTTCTGTGAGCTATGAAGTGTGGATCACCTGCGTTTGTGTGTTCTGGCTAAGGTCCAAATGCATCTCTAACGAGCCAACATGGACCCGGTCCCGACCCACTCCGTCCTGCCCCCCGACCTCCTCTGAGGTCACCAACTCCCACGGCTGACACCCAGCCAATCACAGCCGGGCGCTGTGACAGACAGCCGCTGACTCCAAGGACAGCGTGGGTGGGGGTGAGAGAGGGGGAGGCCGTTGATGAAGGACTGTGATGCTGATGTTCAGCAGTATCTGGTTGGTTGTGAAGTTACAGCTCCCTTTGAGCAACGGCTGAAGGTCTTTATGTGACATTGGATCAAAAATGCATCGTTTTAAATTATTTGAGTTGCAGCAGAACATTTGGAGCTCCAAGGTTCTGTTCAGATTAATAAAACCAGTTTTAACTCTTTAATGTCTGCACTGGAAAACAAAACAAAAAAATGGAGGTTTTGTTTTTACATTCTTTTATTTAATTGAGGAAAATTATCAAATAATAGAACATAATGTTATAACATTTACTACTTTTATTCAACGATACCAGTGTTTTTAATCATTTTAATTCATGAGTTGTCAGTCACGTCCTGTGTCTTAGATAAAGTTGTCCAGACTTTTGGGGATGTGTGCCACTATGATTGGATTTTTCTTAATTAAAAATATCTGCTTAATGAAAGTCAACATTTTAATAGAATGAACACATTTGCTTTTTGTACTGAAGAATCTGCAAATCTCTATAGCTGCCAGACATAAAAAAAGGTCTTTATGTTTGCCTTTAAAAATAAAAGCATCAGATTTCCTTGATTTCATGGGTTGATTGTTTTCAACTTTCTTGGTCTACAAAATAAAGTTGAATCTATTAACAGGAGCAATAATGACACCTGTGTCACTCTTATTTCAGTAATCTTAACTGTGTTTATTCAAGTTTAGGAAAAGTTCTCCCAGGTCAGCTTATCAGCAAATGTCAGCGTGTGTTTGTACCTAAGTGGTTAAATCATAAAATCTCATTAGAAACAACAAACATGATTATAAAATACTATTGTTTTAGGTTTGTACTCAAACGTTTTCAATTTGAAGAAAATTTTTATTTATCTGCATTATTTTAGGCCTCATATTCGTAATAATCGGGGCTCTTTTTGACACTCCTGAGATTCTGGGACTAAGACGTGTTCCAAAATGTCAACCGGCTGGTCAAACAGTCAAACGGAACAGGTGAGTTTAAAACACTCAAGACTTAAACCTTTCTGAATCCTCGGAAAGTCCTGAAACCTAAAAGTTAGTTCCAGAAGTTGAAACTGATCTGATCAGAAACTGCAGAATGGAAATGTTGTCTTGTTGGTGGTGTTGATTAAACCGTTCACACAGACGAGCCTCGTGTCGGAAGCAAAAGGTGAGAAAGAAGTGAGACGCCAGCAAACAGAAAAGGCAGGAAGAAACAAAGAAAGCAGAATGATGCCAGCTGTGCAGACAGCAGCTGGATGAAATCACCACCCAACGCTTTACATGCATCAATATTCACTTTTTAATTATTCTCCAACACCGCTTTGAGTCACTTCTGTGAAACACACCTGCTCGCAGGTTCAGGAACCAGAACATGATCCAAATCTTTCAACAGCCTCTTTATGTTCTGGACATTCTCCAGCTTTCCTTAGGAAACAGGGAATCCCTACTCACGCCAAAGGTTCCACCTCAGTCACTTAAACCAATAAAACTTGTAAAGTAATGGTTGAGAAAAGTTGAGTTGTTTCACTGTTTTATCTGAGGGAACGTTGACCTGCAGGTCACACTGATCCTAGTAGAAACAAAATAACTCCCATCTGCTGAAGAAGATGGTGAGGATCTGATCCAAACATTCAGCAGAACCTCAGAAATGCAACCTCCAACAGGAAAGTGATGGAGGAGGTGAACAAATTCACAGAGGATCAGCCCAGACCTACAGGTGTGTCTGAATGTACTACGATCACCTGTAGCAAAACTTTAACTCATCACCTCTTCATCCCTCTGATAAAACTAAAGATTACAATAATAACAGGGCAAACGACTCTGGACAGAACCCTGAACCTGGCTGATGCGTGTGAGACCGGGTGACTCCCTACCTGTCAATGATGACGGGGTCAGACGGGGTCTCGTTGCGGTTTCCACAGCTCTTCTTGTCGCAGCACCGACTGTGGGAGGAGAAGGAGGAGAACATTAATCAGCTTTAAGCAAACCCGGATGTGATTGGTGGATCTGCTTCACCTTTACCTGCTAAACAGGTGTTCTAAATGTGTTTAGAAAAAGTAAATCAGACTTGTAGCAATGTCATCATACTCAAATATCAGGAGGACTACCACACACACACACACACACACACCGGACCCACAGCTGGGCGAGACTCAAAAGTGGCATCGTAGACTCCTACAGACACACTTTTTCTTGTGTGAAACTGAAGTTTTTGCAGCCCTGAGTTCTGCCTGAAGCCACAGATGTCAAGGCAAGTGAGGCCACTCACACATCACTAGAGCAAAATACAACAGGAGAAGATAAAAATATATGAAGCTAAATGTGAACACGATGAATGAAAGATAAAGAAAAGAAAAAGTATTCATTCCAGATGAAAAGAGTCAGACTTGGACAAGGACTGATCTGGACTCAACAGGAGGGCCAAATGATCTGGCCAGAGTGCCTGTGAGGCAAAACCCAGGGTAAAGCAAAGCTCTTATCAAATAACCAGTTATAAAAACCTACAGCAGAAACGTTAACCCCGCAGTAACTTAAATGTTTCAAAGGGACGAGCTTTAGTAGAGCTTTCACCGGTTTATTAAAACTCCTTCAGAGGAAAATGTTCTGCTTCAAGCCTCAGAGGAAACATTCACATCTACAGCCTCCAACCAGACAGAAATGTTCAGAAATTTGTCTAAATTAATTTATAATGCTGCACATCAGAGAGCCTCAAGTTTTCCGTAATGCAGATGTGAAATGTGACAGGAGCGATCCATCTGTTATTAATAATAATGACACCATCTCATTTTCTGCCTATAATCCTCTGACAAGCTGCCTGGCACAATAAGTCCACGTCGTTCTGTTTCATTGTATTAGCACAGCCGGGGTCATTAACATTTCTTCCGGTATTTTTTAAAAATTCATCATATTGCATCTGACCCGTGACGTTCAATTACGCTCCAGTATTCGCCCCATGCTGTTCTGAATCAAATTGCCATTTGACAAACAAGCATCAAAACGAGGCTGCGAATGCCAAATGAGATGCTTTATGAATCATTTATCGCACCGTTTGATCTCTAAGTAGAGAAAAATCATAAAATAAGAGCTGTGTTTGTGTCTGCGCACGTGTGTACGTGTGACTGTTGCCACAAACGCGCCACAATAATTTATTCCCCCAGCTACTTGGAACCATTAATGAAAGTTCCAGGAGACCAATTAGCATTGGAAACCCACTGGTGCTGCTGTGGTGACAACCTCCTCCAAACTGCCAAAGAAGTGTTATAAACAAACTGGACCCCAGGAGCACTGCTGGGGCCCCTCCAGGGACCCGGGGCCCCTTTCCAAAGACAAAAACAAACCTTGGCTGAGCGTCCACAATACCGCCCTAATGACGTTTCCCCCCGGGCCTGAACAGGCTAACACCACGGCCGGCTAATGGCTGAGAGGAACAACACACAACCCACAGCCACGAGCCTCAACACGAGAGAGAGAGAGAGAGAGAGAGAGAGAGAGAGAGAGAGAGAGAGAGAGAGAGAGAGAGAGAGAGAGAGAGAGAGAGAGAGAGAGAGAGAGAGAGAGAGAGAGAGAGAGAGAGAGAGAGAGAGAGAGAGAGAGAGAGAGAGAGAGAGAGAGAGAGAGAGAGAGAGAGAGAGAGAGAGAGAGAAGTGTGTGAGAGTCCAACTCAAAATAAAACAAACTGGGCTGTGGTGCTGTCAGTCATCTGGTGGAGAGATGTCGTCAGAGGTTTCTGATGCAGAGAAAACAGTTATTTATGCCCAAAGTAATTCAGCCTGTGGAGCCCGTTTTGACCTCCACCAGATGTTCTGAACCTCCACCGGGCTGCTTGAGCCTCTCACGACCCGCCCAGGCCTACAGTGGGCTGACCAAGTCTTCACAAAAGTCTCCAACGAACTGTCTGAGCTTCTAACAGGCCATCCAAGCCTCCAATGGGCCTTCTGAATCTTCAATGAGCCATCCAAGACTCCAACAGGTTGCTTGCTCCAGTGCCCATTGGGCCTCCAGCCCATCCACTGGGCCACTCATTTTGCCACCAGACTGTTGGAGCATCATCACTGCCACACTCAGAGGTTACCAGGAGTTCGACCCATTTGAAGCTCAGAAAAAGTGTTTTCCAAAACCCACTGGAGCGTCACACACAGAGACAAACTGGAGCATTGGTTAAAAGATGGTGGCGTGCAACGATGCTTGAATCACAGTAACCAGAAGACAGTGAGCGAGACCACCAGCTCACTTTCAGGCGGCAAGTGCTGAAATTACCCGAAGGCCTCAAATGCTTCGGCAGCAGCCTGATGTCTCTCTGCAGCCAATGGCGTCCTGGAATGCCGCCTTCCTCTCTGTGAGCGCCACAGCAGGTTTTTACCCCTGCTGCCTGGAGCCTGGCAGCAAATCCAGGCAAGGAGAGTCATCCAGAACCAGAGAGCCTCCAGGAGCCTGCAGGCAGCGCCACTATGGCAGCCTGGTGTCTGCCGCCATGCCCACTTGCAGCTTTATGAGTGGAGGTTTAGAAAATCAGCAGTTTAACAATGAATAATGTTCCAGAGTGATGCAATAATGAGACCACAAATATCTGCAAGCAGCATCCAACTCTCACTAGAATCAAGAACCAGAGCTGGTTCTGAAAGATCCAAACCAAACACTGAAGAAAACAGCAAATGGAAAGTAAACAAACGTGTTTTATTTAACTTATTGAAAAATAAAAACAGAACAGGCTAAAAGCTAATAAATCTGAATTCTAACACCAAACAGTCAGCAAATAAGGGAAATCCGTCAGAACAAAGGCAGGGACACCAGGAACAGGTGGACAACAGGTGAGGGGGAATCAGACTGGACTACTAACAGAAACAGGTCTCTAGTAAATAAAACACTTCATATATTAAATATAAATAATAAAACCAAATGTATCCCAAATAACACATGAACTCACAGAAACTACTGGCCCGTCCACAAAGTCTGCAAAAATGTCCGGTGAGAAACATTTCTTGCACCGTTTTCTGTCCTACTAACTATAAAGTCTGATCAAAAGAATTTGAGCTCTGCTATAATTAGAATTACTGCAGAAACCTGTAAACAGTTGTTGTCCCAACAGGACTAATATTTGGTACCCCTCAGAGGGGTCTCACTCTTCAGGAACATTCATCCATCTTTAATCAATTACTCCTCAGAAGAATGGTGGTGAGGGTAACCCCGGCTTTCCACAAGAGCCGTCAGCAGCACGTTACTGCAGCAGCACGTCATAGCTTCTGATAGGAACCGCTGTGGTCAACAGAACCTTTTCCACTGGAGCCGTCAGCAGCGCGAGTCGGCCGCGTCTCAGGAGCAGCATGTCGCGGCCTTTACGCGCCGGTTCTATTTTCTATGCGCGACGCCTCTGAAACGGGTCAAGTTCGACATTTTTGGGGAAGGAAAGACAGGAAATCGGACGCGGAAATGGAGAAGCTCTCGAGATTTTCATAATAAAGAACGTACTGCCTTCCGGTTGCTTTACTTTTAAAAAACGTTACTAACTGTGCGGCCCCGTGAGAAGTTATCATCTAGCTAGCGGTCTCCTTTGTTTTTCAGGTCCGTATTGGCGATTATAAAACGGACAGAACATAAAACACAAACCATGTTGTAATTTTCTCCTGCTTGTTGTTGTGTTTACTGACGAAGTCACTCGTGTGACTTCGTGCTCTGTCGGTGACAGCTGCTCCCCTGCTGCTTCGCATCTCGTGGGAAGGGCCAAGCAGCAGCTAGACGTGCTGCTGCAGTAACGTGCTGCTGACGGCTCCCGTGGAAACCCGGGGTTAGGGTTAGGATTTGAATGGTGGTGAGCTCCAGCAGATCTGGAGAGGGCTGGGGACACCCTGTATAGGTCGCCATTCCATCACAGAGGCAAGCAACCAGTCACACCTACACACAACGTAGAGTCCCCTATTAATCAGATACTCACTCTTTTAGGACTGTGGGAGAAAACTGGAGTACCTGGAGAAAATCCACACATGCAATGTTTCCTGAAGCTCAAAACCTCCCAACTGAAAGTTCAAAACCCTCTGGAAGGTGTGGGAACATCCCAGTGATTACAGTTGGCTGGAGAAGCCTCTTGTCCTCTTCAGGGTTTCTGCAGACTCACCGAGTCGTTTTTCATTCTGTTCAGAATTTTATTTAACACCACTTTCATCATTGTTATGTGCAGCATGAGATCGATGCACTCGAAAAGCTTGGGATGACGAGGCCTTGAATCATTGATCAAGTGCATGAATTCCTGGCATTTATATCATATTTTGTTGGTCTTTCCAAGCTCCATCCAACAATAATCCAAATTATTACCATTAATGAATCATTATAAACAACATGGTTCTGCATAGCCTGCAGGATGAGAATCGATAAATGGATGGAGACTCAACTAAAAAAGTAACATTTTCAGGTCTTAAAGAGACCGTTTCAGTTGTGAAAGATGAAACTAAAATATGAAGAAAACAAAACTGAGGTTGTCAACACAAGAGAAATTCACTTCAGCTAATTTAAACCATCATTAAGCTCCAGCGAGCTGCTCCTCCACCTGTAAAAGCTCAAACAGCTGCTACACCCAAAGGCGTGCTATCCAGGTAGCCAACCCAACCGAGACACCCATAAAAATGTCCTCACTGGGGACAGAGAGACAGAGGGTGGACCAATCCCTCACTCATTAGCAGATGGAAACAACAGCCATCAGGGACAGAGCTGCTTAATAACCTCACTCAGTCATGTAATGACTGTGCCTCACACAGACAGATGGACATGAGACAGATATACAGAGAGAGACAAAGACAAGTGGAGGGGCGTTGGAAGAGAAACACGATACACACAGCTGATTGGAAGAACCCGAAGATCAAGTCAACACGCTACCAGAGTCTAACTTCACCGACACTTCCTGTTTGAAAAATGTGTCTAAAGGAGGCGTCACCTGGCAGATCGAGAGATGGCCACTGAGGCAGTGACTGACAGCATTCCCATTCATTTATTAAAGTGAATGACTTAAAGCCTCAGTGTGTGATATTTTTACCTGTTTACTATCAAAATCTGTGTTTCCAGTTCACAAACTTGTCCTTTTTCACTAATATTTCTCACCAACATCAATTCTAAATATTCCTCTCAACTTGAAATGATATATTTTTATACACATAAACTGTGGTCGACGCTCCAAGGTCATCCACCATCTTAAAATACAGTAGCCGTTTAGGGACATACGAGCTCCACGTTACCCGTTTGGACTATGACTGTAACCTGAAAGAACCAGCAGAGGGCATCAGCGCGCCCTGGAAGCATGAAGTCTGCTAATTCAACTAAGAAATAGAAAAGAATAGCTACACCATTGCTGCACTTGTTAGTTTGAATAAAAAAACTATTAAATCAAAAGACACATAAAATACTTTGCCGCTTCTCCCCCTGCTCTAGCTGTGGCTAACTAGTAGCTTGTGACGTCCAGCCAGTGATTGCTCCATATCCATATAAGCTGGTAGCAGCAGCCAGTTTGTTTACATCGAGCGCACCATGAGCCGAAACGGGTGTTGTGGGAAAATTATGTTCCCCTGACATATTCTGTTTCCCTCAGGCAGTCAAAAGCAAATATTTCCAAATCCACTGAACATATTGTCCATTATGAGGACTAAACTACCTCAGATAAAAGATGGTTAAACTGAGTGAGATTACATCTTTTTACATAACTTTTAAAAATGATAAATAAGCTTGCTGCAAAAGAGTGAACAAGAGTGTTTTTACTGTATCTTTTTTATTGTTTTTAGGAGAAAATACAGATAAAAAAATCACAAGCATAACATTATTACATTACATTACATCATTTTATCGTAAACGTCTATCGCAAATGTTGTGAAAATAGCCTGAAGAGCGATCTCCCGACACAGGGTGACAGAATATTTCAGGGGAACACAATTTCTCACAACACCTGACCTCACGGCTGACGTCACCCCTCCTCCGTGTGTGAATTGGGACAGCTTCAAGAAAAGAACTAGCTTGCTTCCTTCAGAACTGGTAGGTTGATAAACAGTCATAATTATAAATACTCAAGAGGTCGAGTAGCTTGTTTAAAGCTTTGTGTGGGTTAGGCTACACAGGTTGGGAACTGATTATACAGTCAAACTCAAGAGTGAGCCACCGTAGCTGCAATACTTTCTCTGAACTGCATGGCGCTAAAGAGTCACATTTTTTCATCCTGATTTCAAGGGATTTCACACATGGGGCCTTTAATAAATGACAGAAATCATTGTTGTTGGACGCATGACAACCCTGTTTGTCTTCTTCCAAGGTGTGGACTGTCCCGTTGACTGTTTCCTGTTGTAATGAATATGTCATTGCTCTGATTGGTCCTAGCACTGTCCAATTGCATGCAAGACTGTTGGGTAGACAATCGTAGATTTCGCCCCTATGAGTGAGCCGCTTCAATGGTTCGTGAACAGACTATATATTTACATATTTAGGACAGCCTGCCAGACTAGGCTCTTTAACTCTGGAATAAAGCCATGATTATGTTGAGTTATTCTCCCATAAACCTGTCACCAATAAATAAGCACTGAGATGCAAAGTGGAGGTCAGCCAGGTTTGTGTTGAGATGACAACTTCATGAATAAAATCAGCTCTGGTTAGCATGCTAAGCTAATGACCTAACTTGTCACAGTTCTGTCAGTAATGATTTGGTTTGTTGCCCTGAACAGACCCGTGTGCATCGTCAACAAGTTGGAATTACAATGTTGCGCTGTTCTTTATTTGTTTACCATTATTATGGAATTGTTGTTCTTTCCCCTCTTTTCATTTAAATGCCTTTACCGGAGAGAGGGAACTCTACTGGCACATCAGAACCCACAAAGATTTCTTTCCGTAGCAGCCACAGCTTCACAGCCAGTCTTTGACCAAGTGAAACCAGTTTAGTTTCAATAGTAACCGCTTTGTAGAATAGAGCAAAATAGATTTTATTAATCCCACAGTGGGGAGATTAACTCGGTACAACAGCACAAACACTTAGAGAAAAGGAAGAAAAAAAAAATAATAAGATTACAGGTAAACACAAAAAGGCAATAAGCTATTATTGTAACCTTCACCCGCTAAAAACAATAAATAAAATGGAAACTTGGGTTTCCAGAACTTTAAAACAGTTTAGTGGCATGACCCACAGAGATACCACTTTAGTTCATCTGAAAACCTGTTTAACATCACAAGGCTTGAATTGGATAACCAGATGTAAGTTTTATTTTCTGGTCAGAATGTGTAGAAACTAACGGCCACAGCTCAAACTGAGACCTGAGATTCTTCAGTGAGTTTGTGTGTGTCCCATTTTCACCCAGAACACACACATATACGATTTCACTCCTCGGTCTGAACCAGTAAAACCATTAACTCACAGACAACAGCAGAGACACGTAGGGCAGGAAACGTGTTGATTGGTGTGATGAACGGCAAACCAACAGCTGCTCGCTTCTCTCTTGTCCAGACACACAAAAAACACACAACTACAAACACGTGCTCCCCCTCCTGATTCCATTTCTGAAATGTTTTACTGCAGTTTAAACACCACCAGATGAAATGTTACTATCCACATCACTTCATGTTTAACATCTTCATCCTCTAAAGATCAGACAAGTTCCACATTTACCCAATTCAGTTAAAGCATTTAAATATAAAACCAAACATCTCATTTGCAACCTAACACACACACACACACACACACACACACACACACACACACACACACACACACACATATACACACACATACACACACACACACACACACACACACAACAGGAGCAAATACACACCAGACCTAATACCACACGCTATCAGAGCTGATAGAGCTTTTACCTGCACATGATCTCATGGGTCAGCAGGACGCGACACATCTCGGGGTTCTTGTCCTGACCTTCGTACAAGATGGGCTGGTGGGACAGAAACAAAATGCTCAAACATTCTGACCCCAAAACAACATTTACACTCAAAAACATTCTGCAGGTTCAGTCCAGTCAGCCCATCATTATAAAATCAAACCAGAACGGTAATAATTAAACCCAGTTTGATCTCAGTATAGAAACCTCAACCAATTCAGTGTGTGTGGACTAGTTTAGATGTGAAAGTGTTTCCTGCACACATAAACCATGTTGGAAAACCGTTTTACTCGATGAGCCAGTTTATTACCCACGAGTTTTAAACTGAGATTAAAAAAAACCTTCTATAGACTAACTATACCAGTTTACAGAAGCAACGATCCAGTTATAAACTGGGATTAACAAGTTAGTAGTTTAAACACAAGATAACTGATTTGATCTACTTGAATACATTTAAAACCAGACGGAGAGCACTTGAGATGGATTCCCTGTGTTGAAACTGCCTTCTGTATATAACTAACTGTGTAACTGAAAAATGTTGTGACTGTATCTTTTGCTGCCTCTTGGCCAGGACCCCCAGAAAAATGAGGTTTTTAATCTCAATGGGAAATTCCTGGTTAAATAAAAAAACAAACAAACAAACAAATAAATAAATAAATAAATAAATAAATAAATTAATAACAGTTAAAAGTTAAATGAGATTACACATGGATTACTGCACAAACCGGTGGGAGTGCTCACGTTCAGGATCATGGACTTTAGTTACCCGACATCTTGGGACTATTTGAATTTAGAATAATCTATTTAAAAGGGACAGTATGTTAATGAACATCTGCATCAAATACAGATGTAAACGTGATGGAGTCAGAAGGAATGCTAATAGTCATCTGTGGTCCCTTCAGTTAGTACAGGTCCTCACAAAGAGACTGAAATAAATGAGTGTGTGGTTTCTGTAATACTCTGGTGACTTTAAATGAACTCCACTAAAAGCATGTGTGTGTGTGTGTGTGTGTGTGTGTGTGTGTGTGTGTGTGTGTGTGTGTGTGTGTGTGTGTGTGTGTGTGTGTGTGTGTGTGTGTGTGTGTGTGTGTGTGTGTGTTTCCAAAGCCCTCCTCCTCTTTTCCTGCTCTGACCCACCACTATATCATCTACCTTCATAGTAAAAACAGACCTCGACTTTACACACACACACACACACACACACACACACACACACACCCCTGAGGGACAATACTTTTAGGATAACGACCACTTCTGCATTATTGATCCTGATCCGGGCTCCTCTGAATTAAAGCGCTCCGGTTTGACCAGGAGGGATGCGGATTGCATCAGGGATACACACACACACACACACACACACACACACACACACACACACACACACACACACACAAAACCCTTACACTCTACACAATTTGTAGATTTTCTGGTCGATATTTATACATCATCTTTCCTCATCTACAAGTCCCATGAGTGTGTGTGTGTGTGTGTGTGTGTGTGTATGTGTGTGTGTGTGTGTGTGTGTGTGTGTGTGTGTGTGTGTGTGTGTGTGTGTGTGTCCACCTTCATGCTTGTTTGCAGGTTAAGCCCATTATTTCCAGGACTTGGTCCAGTTATTGAGATATTTTTCTACTTTTGGACATTTTGAATAATAAAAAGATACATTTTCTATGATCTGAGAGCTCGGGCAGCAATAAAACTTGTACTTTCATTTTTGAAGTACTTTTGTTCTACATTTATCAGAAGTTGAAGGTGCAGTCAGTTTTATAAACGTCATAGTTAATACTTTAGGCAAATTTGCAAGAAAAGCTGAAATAAAAAAAGCGTTCATCAGTGCTGCAGGCTTTTTCTCTAAATAGTTAAATTTTTCCCAAATGAACTTGTGTACTTGTGTAAAGATGATGGTGACTATAAAAACGTAGACATGCATCCTAAACCTAATGTCAGTTCAGCAGTCTTTCTGAGGAATTTAAAAACAGTGTTGGAGAAAAATAAGAATATTCTGCAAAGAACTTAGAGAAAGTTTCAGAAGATAAAGGCATTCCCAAAAAACACACAGGATCTTGTGAGGAAACAGTTTTAAAAAATTAAATAATATTTATTACCCCTAAATTTTATAAACCCCTCTTCCTTTTAACACTTTATGGTTTATTTTTAAAACCTGGAAATGTCAAAATTAGAACGTCTAGCTGAGAGAAAAAGGAGCACTTTGGAAAAGTTGTTGATAATTTTACAAGAATTCTAGTTTCAGTGAACATTCTGAAGGTTTCAGTAAAAGAAAAAGAGAACATTTAAAACTAGACTCATCTTGGACACAACTGGACAGTTTTTAAACTTTATTGTAATTCCTGGTGTAAGCAGGTGTTGATATTTGTTTATTTCTCAGAACATGTTTGCGCCACCTCCATAAAAGCTGATCCCCCCCCTCCAGCAGAGACGGCGGCGCTGCTCGGTCCGATCTGCATTAATGTGGCGAGGCTGCTGACAGGCGCTCGGCGGGACCTTATCGATCCGAGGGGACTCCAGCCGACCCGCCTGTCAGGTCCGACTGCAGACCGATGGGGTGTCATGTAGGAGGTGAAGGTGGAGAGCAGAGTGTGTGTTTGTCATGGTGAAGGAGGAGGAGGAGGTGTCAGGATTATTGTCTCCAGTGTGCCGTCGCGGTGCCGCGTTAGGGCCTATTGATCGGCTGGCACTTTGTAGAAGAGCTGCTCACTAATCGATCGGTGACATGCCAACGGGCCGCGCTGTGTGTGTCAGCCGTGACTGAGCTTAACACGTTTAGAGATCATTTGTGTTGTGTGTTAGCTGATCTCAGAGCAGTTCTTCATCCCTCAAGCCCAAGTCCTGTGTTAATATTCTCTAGTAGGTGATCTGTGGCATTAATAACATATTTGTTACCTTTCGATACACTAGCAGCAAACTAAATCTGTTCAAATCTCACTTAACAAGATCCAGGATCCAAATAAAACATAAAAATTAAAAAAAAAATCTTTGGAAAATGTTCATGTGTGCAAGTTCTCAGCTAGTGAACACAGAGTGTTCTGGTTGACCGATGCTGAAAAAAATATCCTGACGCTAACGTTTCTGAGTGATGGACTCGAGGAAAAAGAAGGCTGGGAGGTCGAATTGACTGGAATTTTGAAATATTTGTGGATTTTTGTTGGAAGAGAAGCCTTTCACAGGTTGAAATCCCACACGGAGGTTCTGAGTGAGTGAAAACCGGAAAGGTGGGAGGAATTGGAGGGAGCTGGAGACCAGGTTACACTGGATGGAAAGGAAAACACATCAGGGCTGCCGAAGTATAGGAAAGTAATGAGGAGGTGGAGGTCCAGGTCTACAAATGTTAAAAGGAAGTGGAGCTGCGAGTGAAAGGAGGCTTAAGTTTGAAGGGAAGTTCAAAGGTTAACAGAAGACCTGTAACGGCAGGTCTGACTGGAGTTTTAATCACATCACACAAAAACACATTCTGAGTCTGTAAAAAAAAAATAAACCTGAGTTTGTCAAATAATAAGACTGAATTTTTTTCAACAGACTGAGGAATTGGAATAGTTTTAAAATTAACAAGTGTAGTTCCCGACTTGCACGGCTCTGTAACTGTGTTTTACAGTTTTCTGCTCCAAATCTGTGAACAGATGTTCACTAAAGCGCCACTGTTTTTGTAGCATCTTGGTGGAACTTCACACATTTATTTCTTTCAACCTGACCAAATTAAATTTCATGCAGATTTCATTCACGGGGTGATAAAACTTGATTTACAGCTGAAAACTGTGAAATGCTTCTTGAACACTTCTCTACAGCTCAGTCATTTTAAGACTAATTTGAACTGATGTTGTTGGACCTTGGCTGCTCTTTTCATGCTTGAGTTGTAGGTTTATTCTTTAATGTGTGCACAAACACACACACAGCTGAAATGCACTGGGTCAAATTAATTTACTGCAAACAGGAATGCATGTGTAAAGCCTAGAGCATCCGTAACCTGTAAATATGAATCCACAACACTAATTTTATTACTATTCTACTCTCATCTTCATTACAAAGCTCTGTTATTATTTATTACTTATTCTGCTTCACAGTTTATTAATGTGTTTACTCCACAGATTGCTTCTTTATTACCTAATTTCCTCCTTATTACTGTTTTTCTTTTATTATACATTTTATATAGTGCTCATTCATATTGCTACCAGTGACTCTGAGAGCCACCAATAAGCTTTGATATTATTCTGCTACAAAGATAAAAACACAAAGCATTTCATACTTTTCATTTTTAAGGGACATTTCAGCCATCCTGAAGTTTGTTTCTGTGTAAAAATCATAAATAATTGCAATTTACCTGGTGTAGAAAGCTTTTTGAACAGACTCATGTTGAGGAAATAAAGTGTGCTAAGCTAGTCTGAGCTAAGGGCTAGTCCAAACCTGTGAGTATACCTATTACTATACGTGTTAGTGAACCTGTGAGTATACCTATTACTATACCTGTTAGTGAACCTGTGAGTATACCTATTGCTATAACTGTTAGTGAACCTGTGAGTATACCTATTACTATACCTGTTAGTGAACCTGTGAGTATACCTATTGCTATACCTGTTAGTGAACCTGTGAGTATACCTATTACTATACCTGTTAGTGAACCTGTGAGTATACCTATTGCTATACCTGTTAGTGAACCTGTGAGTATACCTATTGCTATACCTGTTAGTGAACCTGCGAGTATACCTATTGCTATACCTGTTAGTGAACCTGTGAGTATACCTATTGCTATACCTGTTAGTGAACCTGTGAGTATACCTATTGCTATAACTGTTAGTGAACCTGTGAGTATACCTATTACTATACCTGTTAGTGAACCTGTGAGTATACCTATTGCTATACCTGTTAGTGAACCTGTGAGTATACCTATTGCTATAACTGTTAGTAAACCTGTGAGTATACCTATTACTATACCTGTTAGTGAACCTGTGAGTATACCTATTGCTATAACTGTTAGTGAACCTGTGAGTATACCTATTGCTATAACTGTTAGTGAACCTGTAAGTATACCTATTGCTATACATGTTAGTGAACCTGTGAGTATACTTATTGCTATACACGTTAGTGAACCTGTAAGTATACCTATTGCTATACATGTTAGTGAACCTGTGAGTATACCTATTGCTATACATGTTAGTGAACCTGTGAGTATACCTATTGCTATACATGTTCGTGAAACTGTGAGTATATCTATTAGTATATATGTTAGTGAAAATTGAGTATACTTAAAGGTATACTTATGAGTGAACCTATGATTGTACCTTGTGGTATTCCTGTAAGTATACCTGTTAGTTAACATGTCTGTATACCTTTCATTATACCAGTGAGTAAACCTGTAGTTGTGTGAAATATAGACAGGCTTCAGCTTTTGTCTTACCTGTTTGGTCATGGAGTCAATGAGCCGGACATACAGGTCCTGTTCTGTCCTGATGCCTGAAAAATACAAGCGGTCAAAAAACTCAGACTAATGGAACAATAACAGAACATACACAGCTCGCTACATAACATGCATACATGCATTGGTCTGTTATGCTAATTTGCTCTCAGTATGAAAAAAAACCCTTTACAAAAGAAGTGACTCCTAATAATGTGCTGTAAATGAATTGTGATATTATTTATGTGCTGGTCGTGTGTTCGTGTCATCCCCCACCCTTTGCTAACACAAACATTAGTGCTGCAGCAGAGCTGTTTATTATTCATGGGCGGGCCACCTCTAACTGCCGAGTGCCTCTCTGCCCCCCGCTGCTGTCTTCCTCCAGGAGAACAAGGAACCCTCATTCTCAGACAAATTAAATATCAATCAGGACTGCTTGTCTTTTATTAGCTATGCATTCGGGCGTAAATGTGACACAAACACAACATGAGGTGGAGGAAGAAGATTGCGTGGAACACCTGTTAGCGGCGCAGCAGCTCTAATTGTACTGGATGCTGTGGGTTTTTGCACTCTTGTTTCTTGGGCTGTTTCCTCGCAGCTTCTTCTGGATTCTAATTGACATGATTCACACCTCCGTCTGCTGCCTAAATGGCGGCTATCCGTCCCGCTTGCAGATGAGGTCAATTACCTCCGTACGATGCTAATCTGACGCTCCATATTAGAGTGATTTATTCCCCTCTGGTAAAAAACGCTCTTTTATGTCCCACTTTATCTGGTGCTTCTGCAGGGGTCTAAGAGCATTAGGGCTGGACCCAAGCCAGCACAAAGCCGAGCTGTGTGTTTCCAATCAACCCAGGAACCCCACCACCATGTCGATGGACAAACCAGAGCCCAGGTCTGTCACAGATTCCAGATGTCTGTGACGCTGATAATGAGAAACTTTTTCCAGACTAAAAACTACACAGCTGAGTTAAACTTCTCGTTTGGTGAGGTGACCTTTATTACGTATTCTAAATCATCCGACTGCAGACCAGCTCAGAGCGCCTCACCTGGGGAAACGGCCATCATTAACTTACCTTCATCCATTCAGGCTGCAAATATGAGCTGCTTAAAAAAAGGCTTCATGTAGGTTTAATGTCAACTGATCCAAAGAAAAAAAAATCCAACAACTGGATTAAGTTTGGGTTTCCAGGGCACAGGGAGTACAATGTAACACAAACTAGAATGTCAGCAAGTTCTGCAAACAACAAAACAGGTTTTGGATTTTCAAATCTCACTAAAAACAAAAACAATTAATGTTTTATTGGTTTTTGAAATGCTGGCTAGGCTTCAAGATGGTCATTACGAAAAAAAAAATCATGATTCCAACAGATATCCAACATCATCTTGAAGAAAAGTGCACTGATGTCCAAGAAAGAGTTGTGGTCTTAAAGGTTTCCCAAAGTAATTCTGGTCCATGTGGTTCTGGGGATAAATTAGGGCTGTGGATTAAGTTCTGTATGAGGGGTCGTAGATCATGATGGTCTAACTTAAGACTTGCTACCTGGTCCTTTACTCAGTGGCACTTCGCCAAATTGATTGAATAGTTTTATGAGGTTCGGCTCTGAAAAGAAATCTGAAAATCTCAGACATCCTGGATCCTCTGAATGTTCCTGATCATCTTTGATCCTCAAGACTCAGACTGAACTGGATCCTGATTCCAGACCTAATCAGGTGCTTTTCTTTTTCTAACTTCATTAACAGCCTGTAACTCATAATTTCTCTCTGGACTGTGTCAGAATACCTGATGCATAGTTAATAAAATAAATTTCTTCCATCCATTAGCTACCCATTTGCTTCCGCTTATCTGGGGTCAGGATGTGAGGGCAGCTGCCTAAGCACAGGCCCAGACTTCCCTCTCTCCAGCCACCAGGGCAAGCTTCTCCAGGGGGATTCCTAAGGCGTTCCCTGGCCAGACGTGAGACATAGTCCCTCCAGCGTTCCCTGGGTCTTCCTTTGGGTCTCCTCCCAGTTGGACGTGTCCAGAAAACTTTACCAGGGAGGCATCCAGGAGGCATCTAACCACATGCCCGAGTCACCTCGACTGGCTCATGTTGATGTGGAAGAGCAGCGGGTCTACTCCGAGCCCCTCTGAGATGACCAAGCTTCTCACCTTATCTCTAAGAAAAAGCTCAGACACCCTGTGGAGAAAACTAATTTTAGCTGCTTGTATCAGAGATTTTGTTCTTTCAATCACTACCCAGAGCTCATGACCATAGGTGAGGGTTGGAACGTAGATGCAACACCTTTATTGCCTATATTATGGTGATGGACCAGTAGGTCCGACCATAGGAGCACAGTGGCGTGTTTAAATCAGACTCAAAAACCAGAAGATTTTTTCAAAACAACCCGAATTTTAGTAACTGAATTGAGTAGTTAATTCAATAAACCAAAAAATAAATAAATAAATAAACGTTTACCATACAATATTCAAATCACTTGGCCAAGTGTTATTACTTTTAAATCTATCGGGTGCACCCTGTTAATCTGTATCCTGTTTCTTAAAATCAGGTTACTTAATTTCAATTCCCATTTAAATTTACAATATCAAGTACCAGTCACATGAGGGTTTTTCCCTATACAGCAGCGTTTTGAGCAGTTCAATGTATAATTGTCAACAAAATAAAGGGTAGTAAAATAATATAAATGTCAGTCAATAGTTATAAGAGTATCCAGTTGCGTGTGAAGGTATGATCGATACTTCCTACCGCACCGCTGGGTGCAGCACACAGTCCACAATGGAATAAATGGGAATGTCTCTACATCCTGGTGCAGGCTCGCCATCAAATCATCGGAGGAATCCACTCCTGGAACACACCGACGTAGAAAAAACCCGACCAATTCCACCCAACAGGCTTGACTCCACGGTGAGGCAGCTCTCAAGTCACCCACGTGGAGTTCTTGCCATTGAAAGCAACCAGGATGAACTTCAGATGAAAAGTTAGCTAGAGCCGGTTAGCTCCATGTGGCTTTAAGTAAAACAGAAAAAAAAAGCCACTTCTCATTCTAACCTTTTCCATCTTCTTTTTCAACACAAAAACGATTTAACTCACAAGTTTAAGGAATGTAGATGTTATTTCAGGCTTGTTTTTCCGTTCTTATTCTTGTTGTAATTGTCTGAAACATCACGGAGCAGCACTCTCCTTCTCCCAGCAGCGTCACACCCGACTCAGACACGTTACTGCAGCAGTGCAGTTGATGGGCGGGACGAGTACCGGGAGTCTGCGTTCCATTTGGTTATGTCACACAGAGTTTATGTGCTGTGATTGGTTGGGAAGCAGTCAGTCTACCCATTTTATGTGGTGTATATCAACCAGTGAATGGAGAGCTTTCCATTCCGGCTCAGCTCTCTCTTCACCACGACAGACCAGTACAACGCCCACATCACTGCAGATGCAGCACCAATCCGCCTGTCGATCTCACGCTCCATCTTTCCCTCACTCATGCACAAGACCCAGAGATACTTAAACTCCTCCACTTGGGGCAGGACCTCGTCCCTGACCTGGAGAAGGCAGGTCAGGGACGAGGTATACCGTTTTCTGACTCGAGACCATGGTCTCGGATTTAGAGATGCTGATTCTCATCCCAGCTGCTTCATACTCGGCTGTGAACCACTCCAGCGAAAGCCGAAGATCACCTTCTGATGGAGCCAACAGAACCACATCATCTGCAAAAGGTAGAGACCTGGGGCCTCATTTATCAAGCTTGCTTACGCACAAAATGGGGTCGGAAAACTGCGTAAGCAACTTTCCATGCAAACTTTGGGATTTATTAAAGAAAACTTAGCGGAAAAATGCACGCAACTTAAAGTTGACTAAGGACCTTGCTTACACACATGATGGACATGGAGAGCACCTGCAGTGCTGCTGCTGAGAAGGATAAAATTATGAAATCCTGCAGCATTATCACTTGTACTGCTTCATTTTCACACGGAACAAGATCCCCCACACGCGCACACACGTGCGCGCACACACACACATGTGCGCACACTCACACACACACACATGTGCACGCACACACACACACACACACACACACACACACACAGCCTGAAGCCAGAATACGGAATGCAGAATATCAGCAGGGGGATAGATTGAGACAGAATATCATGCGTCTGTGACAGTGTGCATCCTGTCACTGTGACCCGATTCATCATGCGCCCTGGCTACTTGAACATGGGAGATCTCCGTTTGGCTGACTGTTTAGTGCGCGTGACTTTCACCTGGGATTCTGGGGATCGAATCCTGATTGGACCATTTTTTTATATCTGCCACAGATCTCTCTGAAGAACTCAGCATTGATGGCTTCAGCAACACTGTGCCACTCCGTGGATTTTCTCAATTGTTTTGCAAAAGCACTTCCTTTAACTTCTCCACTTCATCTACAAGTACCTGAATTTCTGCTTGTGAAATAGCGCTTCCTTGATCTGCGGCCATGATCGAAATGCTGCAACAGCCGGCTTGTGTATATGCATGAGGTCCACAAGGCACTTTGCATTGACCATTTACAACAGTAAGTGGGAGTGGTGAGGGCGGGATGTGACTAAAAAGCAGCTGAGAAACATTCTCGTTAGTCTCCGATTTATGAAGCGGAGATTGCGTGCAGCTGTGCGTACTCCATGTTTGATAGATCACAAACCTGCTTGGCATAAGTACTTTTTTTTTGCTGAGCTTAAGTACGGTTTTAGTAAGGATTCTACGCAATGTTTGATAAATGAGACCCCCGGTCCTTAAGCCTGATTCATGCTTCTCCGTCTGAGTCAGTGCGGAGACACGCAACATCCTTGCGGGCCTGCCGGAGAGCTCCGCAAGGACGGACGGAGTTGAGCTCTCTTTTCAAAACATCCGTCAGTTGAGACAGACAACACAAGCTTGTGATTGGTCAGGACGCCGCTGTCATCTACACCGCCGCCATTGCGCCCTCAAAAACATAGAGAGCCGAGCATAACTAGCGGCAGACACAGAGCAGCTTGAAGAATACCTCGTGAAAAAACTCTAAAAATATGAACGTTTAATTCTCCCGTGAAAGGAGGAGTGAAAAGATGCGCAGCAAGCGTTTTATTTGTGGACGGAAATGACAGGAAACATGGGTTTAGAGGTGGCGAGCGCATGAAGAGGTGGAGGAGAATGAGAGACAAATTTGTCTGTGTTAAAAGTCTCTTATATACAAAAAAACACAATATAAACACACTATCTTGGACCGGATACATGACAGGATACCACAGAACAGCGCTACGCCCTCTGTTGTCCTGCCGGGGAATTGCTTTGCAACACTCTCCAGGAGACGGAGAAGTATGAGAGCAAAACGCTTCCGTCAATCCGTGCGTGTCTGTCCCTTGTGGAGCTGACGGAGAAGCATGAACCAGGCTTTAGGCCAATAAAACAGATCCCCTCAACACCTTGGCTTCACCTAGAAATCCCCTCCATAACAGTTATGAACACAATCGGTGACAAAGGGCATCCTTGGTGGAGACAGTGTCCCCCAGCAGGTTTAGAGGGTGGGCATCAAATCTAAACTATCTCCAGATCAATCCTAACTTACTTGTCTCCCGTTCTTAATTTGCACACCTGCTCTCATTATATGTCACCTTCTCAGGCTGCATTCACTCTGCAGGTTTATGCTCCATTCTGGTTATTCTCTGAGATCTGACTTTTCTGTGTAGTTGTATGACCTATCTCCACAGTGAACAATCTACGGCTCTGAAGTCATCCTAATGACGCGCTGTGGTATTGAAGTAACTGTGATGCTACATATGCCAGCACGTGTGTGTGTGTGTGCGTGCGTGCGTGCGTGCGTGCGTGTGTGTGTGTGTGTGTGTGTGTGTGTGTGTGTGTGTGTGTGTGTGTGTTGCTGCCTCCTTCTTCCGTGTGTCACTTTTCAATAACACAGCCATACAGAAGGAAAACTCTTAAAATAAAACATCTATTATGGATCTGACTTAGGGACACAAAGAAAAGTGACCTGGGTCGTATTTGAAATAATCACATTTGTCTTAAGTAATCAGATCTGGGTCACACTTGGGACAGGAAGCCAGATTGGGCAAGTTTAAAAGACCAGTTGTCAGGTTCAGCTTTTGCTTTGCTTCCCTCCTAAATCTCTGAATATTAATTTTCCTTCATGTTTCTTGTTCCTGAGACAGATTTTAGTTTTCCGTAAAAGGAACTCCATGTGACGAATCAGTTCGTCTTACCGTTACTGTAGAGGAGCTGCAGGCGGTAGTGGATCCCGTTGTTAGTTTTCTCTCCGTTGTACTCCTGGCATACAAAAACAAAAAGCACAACTTTAACCTACAAACGGATGTACAGCACATCGCTACAGGTAGGAAGTCAGTTACAACCACGAGATGTTTTATTAATAAGACGTTCGACTCCTGTAGTGCTGTAAGGACTGGTCAATGTAACTGAGGATGTTGGCTACAAAAACACAATTTGATAAAAAATATATGGATTTTTATTGTTGGCATCTAAATAAAATGCCTTCAATAAGCCCCTTTTCCAACAGCCCTATCTCGACAGAACTCTGATGGGTTTGGTTCAGTTTGACAGACTTTTCCAACAGCACAAAGCAGGATTTTCACACAGCTTTTCAGTGCCTGCTTTGTTTATGTTCCTGGTTACTACTCAGCTTGACTTCCACTGAACTGAGCTGAGTCAAGTTTAGCCAAACTGAGCCATGTTCAGCAAGGAAAAGGGGCCTTAGATGGCTCTGGCCACTAAGAACCATGCAACACACTACATAACCTCTGGGGAAGTATCTGTTATTGTTTGCCAGAGCACTACCAGTGAAGAACTTCTGAGGAGGAGAAGAACGTGACGTGAACACAGACGTGGGTGCCATGGCAAATCAGACGAATGAAGGAGAAAAATGATGTAAAACTATGGAGAATATAGAAAGAGCAGGAAGAGACTCTAAGCTCAGTTTTAATCATATGGATGTCTGATGCACCAGAATAATTTTATACCAAACAAAGATTTCATCTGTTCTGACCAACAGTGTTAAAGAATGCAGCTCTGTTTTAACACTAAATCATAATCACTTTTTTAGTTTTGGAGGTAAAAGAAGTAGAACTTCATTAATATGATTTGATTTTTAAAATAACAGAAACTTGGAGTTCATCTTTTAAAAATGTGGATACGGGGACGCAACCAGGAGGGAATGGCCTAGAGATGTTTTCTGAAGGTGAGTTCCCAGTGGGAGCTTGTTGTTGCCACCCGTAGACCTTCCATCAGAGGGCAGTAGACATGTTTGGGACTAGATACAGCCCTGCCATGTTTAGGGCCACAAGTGGTTTGGTGACAACATTCTTCATGTTTTAACAACAAAAGTTCTTGTGTCAGCAGCATCACGGCTGATTATTAGATCAGTAGCCTGTGGATTCTGAACATAACCAGGATCTATGTGGACATCCAAACAGTTTAAGACTTCTGAGGACCTGCCACAGACCTTGGACTGAGGATCCTGTCCACATTCACTCACCAGAGTGAAACAGGATGAAATCTTTCACTTTATCACGTTGTTTTTACACTCCTGACCTTCCTCAACTGTCCTTCTTCTCTCCCTTTTATTCCCCATTTTATTCCTCTCTTCTCCCCCATCTGAGTGCACATTGGTCGGCCGCTCGATGCCAACTGTGCCTGGCAGCGTTGGCTCAGTCCCAGCATGTTGGGCGAGAGACTAGAGGTCAAAGCAGAGGTGAGGCGAGCGAGTGGGTGGAAGACTCTGAGCCAGCTGGCAGCCGATCAGAGAACAAACAACCTGAACCTGCCCGGATGTTGTTACGACTCATCAGACCCTCATCAGTGTTACTAGAGGAGTTTATCACTCAAACACTGTCTGGAGAAGGTTTATGAGTTCAACAAAGAACTATCTTACCAACCAAATAAACCAATTTAATCACTCAAAACATTATGAGTCAAATCCACGATTATTCACAAGGATTTGTGTTTACCTGCAGAGCTCCCAGCCCCAGCAGAAGCTGAAACATCATCATTTTGAAGCTGGAATAGTGATACAAATATGTAGATACCATATATTTTTAAATCTTTTTCACATAATGTGTGTGGACTCTGCTGACTTTGACCTGTTGTCCTTATCCTGGCAAAAAAAATCTTCAATAAACTATTTTTATTTTTAAAAGGTTTTTTTCAATTGTTATTGTTTCTTATTTATTCAGTTAATTTATTATATTTTTGAATAAGATTTGTTTCTGCAAGGTTTAAAAAACAATGTTTTTCTTTTTTAAAATCTTTTTAAATGTTTTTGACGTCCTGATAATCCCAAATAGTTATAAGGAATTTAAGCCACATACTAAGTGAGTGGCAGCCTTTCATTTTGGGTTTGGACCGGCTGTTGACTTGAAAAATCAGATCAGAATAAAATTTTCATTAATTTACCCATGTACAACAAAATATTGTTGATCTGTTTAAGCAGATCCAAATACAGGCATCGTCTAGTAAAACTGGACCAGATAGTTCCTGTGAACTTCTCTTAGTTTTCTGGTGGATGTTTGTAGCAAAAAGACATTTTAGTCCAAATGAAACAGTTTTTGTTTGACAGATGGTTTAACGTTTTATCATTTTAAAGCTTAAATCAGACCAGAAAAGAACAGATGTGTGTCACCTTGTCTTTCTCCACAAAGTCCACGTACGACGTCCTCTCGATCTCAACTGGCTGGCCCTGCCGGTCATACAGCGCCAGCACGAAATGGAAGAAGTTGGACTTCCTCAGGTTGGACGGAGGCTGCTTCTCAAAGTGAGCTCGAGCTAATCCCACACCGCTGAAACACACAGAGACTTCACTTATGTGGTGGTGGTGGTAGACACAGCCTCCAATACTTAGAGGTTGGTCAGCTAAAAACAGCACAAGTTCATTTTTAGTTTTAGAAATCAAATCTGAGTAAACAAAACAACAACCAAGAGCTAAAAAAATAAACATTTTTGCCGCCGTTCACTGTGTTTATTTGTTGCTATTTGTGTTTTGGTTGCTAATAGCTGATCATTTTCCTTCAGATGCTGAACCAAGAATGTTTTAGTTCATATGGTTTGTTTATGCATGCTAGTTTGTTTTTTTATGTTGTTTAATTATATTCCCAGTTTTTGTGTTTTCAGTTTATTTTATGCAGGATCTTATTGGGCTGCAACAGCTGGAGACACAAGCCTCAGTACAAAAAGCTTTTCCATTGCAATTACACCGAATAACTTAATGTACTCTCACCTTGATCAAGAGATTTATTGTCATTTCTTACACGATAATTAAGGTAGACACAAAATTATTTTCACCAGCTATCAGTGCCAGTAGTAAAAAAGGTACAGTTACTACAGATACTATTACCACCACAATTAACGAGGCTAAAAAAGACACAAGAATAAATTAATACAATAAAGATCTCCACCTCTTTCCAATGCCGACTCACATTTCTTCACTTTCTGATTCACAAAACCTGAACTGAGATGGGTCCCAGGCTTTGAGACCAAAGATTCGTCTTGTGAGAGGTTGTGGGATTTTTCTTAACATGCTCAAACTTCCAGGCATTTTACCCACAAGCTCATTCCCAATCGGGAGCAATTCTGACGAGAAAAGGGAGTGAAAGCGTTCCACACAGCTGATCCTGCTAGGTCATAAAATTACAGGGAATTGCCCCACCACGTGTGATTTCAGAAGTCCACACTCAATAAAAAGCAAAGAGAAAGACAACAGTATGTCTCCAAAAATGTGTTGCGGTTTATTCTCTGTTCTGTTTACAAAAGTGTCGTAAGAAATGTCGTACCGCACGTGACTTTTATTTTTTTAAGTTTCCGGATGTTTTAAACTGATTTAATGTCCGACTTCCTGTCTGGCCAGATCTAAACTGCTTGATGTATTTTTGAAGCGTAGCGCATAAAAAATAAAACAAAACTCAAAATGTAATGATAGCGTTCTTTCACTTCTGCGACGCGTCCAAAGCTTGGCTGTCAGTGGAAAGGAACTCGTCCACTATAACAGCGGCTAATTGCTGTGTTGAGTCCGGAGGAAAAGAGGGGTCAGGTTTCTCACATCCTCTTGTTTACAGTTGCTGCTCCTACTTTGAGGTATGCCTTTGTATTATTCCATGCTACCTGAGTTCCTGCATTTGTAGTGAAGCCATTTATATTTTGCACCACGTTATTCACCTCTGAGTATGGACTTTGTCTCCTCATCACTATAACAACTTCTCATCACACTTGTGACATGTGCTCTTTGCTCCTGGTGGATGTTTTATATGATGCAGAGATGCATGTACAGCTGACTCTGACCTGATAACTCCTTCAGACAAAAACTGCCACGTTAAAACAACAACCATCCTTTTACTAAACCGCTTAAACCTCGCTGGAGCCTTTCTTCAGCGGTCATCAGCTGAGAGACGGGGGATACACTGGACAGGTTTCCAGTCCATCACAGGGACAAATAAACACACCTAGGGACATTCTCCACTCAACCTGACAAGCACGTGTTTGGACTGCAGGAGGATAGCCAGCACGGCGGGATTCAAACTAGCGACTTTCTTGTAGCTCAAAACAACAACGTAAAGAGAAAAATATAGAACCTGCTTCAGGAGCAGCTCTTCTTTCTTTAAAGTCCTTAAACTACACTAAACTTTTAATTATACAAACATGTGGACAGAACATTTATTACTGGACCAAGTGTGTGATCTCATTTTCACTTTAACATGAATAAACTTGTCTTTTTGTGACATCTGCTCAGTTAATTACTGTGAATTACTCTAACATGGCGCTGTCTGAGGAAGAGGAAATCAACTGCAGGAGATAAAAGGAAAAACTGATTTGTTTTAGGAGATGGCGACAATAGACCAATACAAATGAATAAAAAAACATCAGTACTGTTGGTGGCAGAAAGGTAAAAATGCTTCAACTGTGAATAGAGTTAGACAAACAGCATCACTGGAGGTTTCACCGAAGGCATCAAACTCAAATCAGTGAAACGTGGTCAGCAAGGGAAGACTAACGATGTCCGACACGCTTCTGCTGAAACGAGCCAGCAGCTACTTCGGGCGCAAATTTCAAGTTTAAAAGTAAGTCAACTAATTTAAAATGTTTTTTTAGATCCAAATAAGTTATCTATGGTTGGTTAGTTGCTTAGTAGTTGCAGCTTCGGTGGCTAGCGGGTAGTAAATCACTTATATATTTAATTTAATAAATACATACACAATTTAAAAAGTAAAAGTCTTGTTATATATTCATATTGAAACTAATACATATAAAATATAACGTTATCTCCCGTGTCACGTGAAGTTACATGACCGCCGTGGAAGCCGCCGTCATGTGATGCAAGTCTGTTCCATTTAACCGTTTTCTTTGACCAAGGTAGGACAGTGTCCTCGTAAGCAAGGCGCCTGGCCTCGCAAGACCTCGCCTCGCAAGGCAAGGCGCTTTGACATTGAGAAACACCCCCAGTCCCTCCAGCGTGTCCTGGGTCTTCCCTTGGGCTTCCTCCCAGTTGGACATGTCTGGAAAACCTCACCAGGGAGGCATCCAGGAGGCATCCTAACCACATGCCCAAGCCACCTCAACTGGCTCCTCTCGACATGGAGGAGCAGCGGGTCTACTCTGAGCCTCTCCCGGATGACCGAGCTTCTCACCCTATCTCTAAAGGAGAGCCCAGCCACCCTACGAAGAAAACTCCTTTTGGCTGCTTGTATCTGTGATCTCATTCTTTCGGTCACTACTAAGGATGTGCGATATTGGCTTTTTTACCGATATTGTCTAAGTCTTAATTTCTGATACCGATATAAACCGATACTGATATATGCAGGGTTCCTCCAATAAAAAATACAATAATTTAGGTTGCTACCATCACATATCTCCTATCATGAATGCTGAAGCTTTAAACTTTATTGGTGCAAAAAGACAACTACTTAAATTTAAGTTGGTAATAAAAAAGTCATGTTTTAATTTGTCTCTAAGAGCAGCTGAATGACATTCTCCTTCAAATAGTCCTGACTAATGCTCTGTCATGCGTTTAGGCCACATATAATTATTCAGTTCATGATGGGAACAAGTTTAATTAATAAATAGTAACGGTGAAACAATGATAAAAAGGCAAAAAAATAAATTTAGGTTTTGAAAACAGATAGAGTAGAATAGAATAGAATAGAATAGAATAGAATTTATTGTAATTGCTCATGGCAATTACATTTCAGATGGTCCACCATCAACAGTGCACAAGACAATAAATAACAATACATTTCAAAACCATAGAGGACTAAAAACAATTAAAACATTTTAGCAAAACACCAAGAAAGCGCAGTGCAAACCAGTAATTTGAATCTGCTAAAACAACAATTTAAAGGGATTTAAAACAGATTAGTCCACATTACTGATGGGGTCAAAGTGAGACATCGCTGTTGCAAACAATCTTTGTTATACTGTCTGTATGAAACAGAATGAATAAACTAAAATATCAGAAGCATTAGAAACAAATGTGGCTGGCTGCTACAGAAACACAGAAAATAACCTTTGACCTCTGATAAAGAGCGAATCACCGACTGCAACAGTTTTAAATCACCAGGTCAACTTTCAAATGCTGTTTATTAGAGGCAGTTTCTAATTAAGTCCATCTTCACGAGCTATTTTTATGAAATCATTTATATAATCTTTGCCTTTCTATGAACCATACTCTTATTTTGAAAGGTATATTAAATCTAAAGTAGTAAAGGTTTTTATCTGGCAAACAAGATTAGGTGGAACAAGTTACTGTCATTAAAAGTCAAAGTCTTGTTCCAACCTTCCTTTAGTGTAACGTGACTGAAGGAGAAAATCCACTCACACTCATTATGGTTCGGCTGGACGATTACTGACGAAAACCTAAAAACAAGTCTGGGTTTGTCTCTAATTAAAAAAAAACATGACACGTGTGACATGTGAACAAGACAATTAATAGATGAGAATGGAGATGTGTTTGTTTTATGGCTGATTACTGCGTGAACATCAGATCTGGCTGGAGTTTTCTTAGATTGTGTGAGGTTTAAAACTGAGGCTCCTGCAGGTAGCGACCTCTGACCTTTGCCTGCAGGAGCTCAAACTGTCTGTGAGGAAAACGCACCAAATGTTTTTACATCAGACTCATTTCCCACTCGTTTGTCTCCTGATCAATACCACACCAGGGCACAGATGAATATTTATTCACGTTTGTTTTTGATAGCAGCCTCGGAGCTTCCGGACTCGGGGGTGTATTCTCCAGACGGCAGATTAATACAGCCGTGACCTTTCTTCTCCCACATTACCAATGCGTAATGCCTCATTTGTAGGCCAGTTAGTTGGAGGCTGGTTCTGCCGGCTCGCAGCGTTCGGCCGGCGGACACAGAGCGGGGAATCTGCCCCCAAGCTTCAGGAGCAGCTGCTCAGGTGTGCTGCTCAGGTGAGCATCAGGAGGTTCTAATGGAGGCTCGCAGGGAATAGAAGCAGCTGAGTGTTGCGATGAAAAATAGCAATGAGAGAAACGACAGCGTGGAGGACTTCAACACTTCACCAGCAGATATCATCACACACTTCCTGTGTGAAAAAACAAGACTGTGTTTTAGCAGCGTCGTGTTTTTCTTACACCTGCCTCCCAGCGCTCCCAGCAGCGCCCCTCACCTTTCACACACACACACACACACACACACACACACACACACACACACACACGCAGCAGCGACACACACTGGGAGCAATAAATCCTTCAGAGTTAGACGGGAAAGGTATCGGGCACATCTCAGCTTTTCTAGTTGACATACATGAAGAATGATTCAGCAAAAAAAAG